TTTCAGATTTGAATTTGATTTGAACTCAAATATTTGATCAAATCAAATCAAATCAAATCAAATTGCGGAACCCTATCAACAACATCATAATAATTTTTTACATACCAAAAACACTATCTTGTTCTTTACCATATCCAATAATAATGTCTAAAACACATCTAATTATGATGTCAAAATATTTTGTAACAGCTGAAGGATCAAGATGCGTGAGTCGAGCTCTTTCCGTAGCTTTTGAAAAATTCTTGGATGATATACCCTCGAGATCAATCTCATTTCCAGCATACATCATGACAATAGGGCTGTGAAGGTCAGCAGGATTTATAGTGATAAATAGAGAAGGGGAACTATAATGAAGAATAATAGCATGTATCTTATTGCGCATACGAGCATATGCTTGGGGAGATGCCATTAAATTATAGCTAGCTACATTAATATTCATGAGCAGCTCATTAATTGCAGAATTTATAATCGGAAGCTTGTTCTGTTCTTGTTCAATAGCTAATTTAATATCATTAATGCTAAGTAATGATATCAAACTTGTATAATATTCGAAATTTCTCTTTTTTGGTTAAATTATATGTTTTAGTTGATACTTCTTGTCATTGTAATACATTAAAAATGACAAAAGGGAACAACCTATGCTGTCTAAACTTTGGATCATGATGTCGCATAAGATGATCAGCATATTTTTTTAAAAATACATGAAATGATTGACCTTCATGACCTCCAACACCATATGGAAAGAGCACGAGAAATCCTGCAGGAAGAAGAGTTTCGTCTTCATATTCATTAAAAGGTTTACAGCCATGCAGCATGTATAATACTTGGGATACAGATTCTATTTCAGTATTATATTCAGTTTGTGATCAATTATTAGATTAATTGTTCGAATAGTTAACAAGATTTTGAAAAGAATATAAAGTAAGTTCTTTTTTAGTAATTGGTACATTGTCGACGTGTATAATTCCAGAAGGCCTGAGTTCATCTGCATCACCAATTGTATTATTTTTTATAAAGTTATCCAAGTCAGGATCATTATCATCAGAAGCTTCATAATCGTTTTCACTATCTGTCTCTTTAGAATAACCTGTATAGTGCTCAGATTCTTGCAAATCGATGTTCACTACAGTAGTTATTAAAGTTAAAGATTCAGGAATCTCACCTTCAGGCAAGAGATTTAAAGCATTTTTGTCAAGTATAAAATCATTTTTAAATAATTTGTTGTGTACAAAGAGCCATTGAAGTGCAGCTGCAACTTTGCTTTTTCTTACTTGGAGTATTTTTTTGAGTTGGTAATTGGTAGGAGTTCTCTCTCCAATAAACACCACTTTTAAATGTTCACATAGTCTGTATATTGGTAATGGTAACACTTTAATTAGTGAGCTTGGATTTTAAGGTAATGTTATAACATGCCTCTTAAGTTTGTGATATGTATGTTTTTTTCTTGTTAATTGAATAAGATTCATGCATAAATATCTGGGAGAAATTAAAATTTGCTCTGGAATCGTTAAATCTTGAAGGCACGATAGGATAGATCCAATTCACATATGATTAACCAGCGATAATGGTGGAATTTTACATTTCTTCAAATAATTATAACATTCATTACAGATACATAGGTCAAAAGGGTTATTATTATTTGGGGGATCATTATAAACAAAGCCAGAGTGATCAAGAAGAATATTAGTTTTAATAGAATCAATGTAAGGATGTCAATAATTAAAATCAATTTCAAATGACAGATCTATAAGATGGTTCAGTACTTCAAGTATAGAAAGGTCAATATCTATTATAGAAATTCTTTTGGAATTTTTACAATCATAAATTCTGGAGCAAATAGCACAGAATAGTTCTTGTAGTTTGCTAAAATCGATCTTATCACGAAATTCGGCTATCACACTTTTTTTTATTTTTGGATGAATTGGTTGAGGCCATGCTGCATACTCAATAAGAGCTCTTTCAAAATCTCGATTCATCTCGAGAACATGTGAAGGAATAGTTGAATTTTCTGTGAAATATTAATTAATAATTTCTGCCATTTTCAAGAATTTTTGCATATTATGTTACATGACCAAACATATTCTTCATTTTGATATTGATCAGCTTGACGTTTTTTTTGTTTATCGGTTTCAGATTTTTTATATAAACTATCTTTACACTTGACAGCTCTTAGTTCATGTTGTTTCATTTTCCTAGTTTCACCTCTAGTTATAATGTTTATCATGGTTTATGAAGATGTGAAATGATACAAATAATATTTAATATCAGGATCACTTTTACAAAATTTCTATTCTTTATTGGAACGAAATCTACGCTCTTTTATAACAAACAGAGTGAGAATGATTTATTACTAATCTTACTAAACTTGCTAACAAAGTTGCCAATCACATTAATCTTTATGATACTTTCTTAAACATTCATTCACAAACTTTCTTTACATTGCATTTGCATCATTATCACCAGAATGTTCTAGTGATAATGCCTAAGCCTTGTAGATCATATGTGTATTCAACCTTCTTGAAAATCATAATCACCAGTCTGGTTTCAATTAACACGTAATTTAAATCATAGACGTCAAAATTAGTATGTGACACATCACCATGATTCGAACTGAAAAACATATTCTTTTCATGATAAAGTAGTATTAAGTTTAAACTGTTAGGAACACAGCATTCGTGCTTTCAAGACCTGTATTTATAAGCTTTGCTTCTGCCTTATTTTTTGATTTAGACTTTTATTCTGGTTACATTTTATTTATTGTCACTCACTTGATCCCCTTATTGTTTAGTATTTTGCTATATTTATTTGATTTACTGTTTATTTATTTATTTTTTATCGATTTACGCTTATTGAAATAATAAAATTATTTATCATTCGTTTTGTATTATTACATATTTAATATCTTCATGAAGCTTATCTATTAACCTGCATGTAAACTATTTAATCATCCATCATTTTTAAGTCTAGTCACAATTAACCCATATTTATCAAATAATCGATTAAGCCGAATTGTTTAATATCAAACACAAACTTATATTGGATAATTGTCCTTGTTACATCACCCGTAACATTGTTTCACTAAATTGTTATACAGGTAAAATTCTAACAGGATTATCGTAATTTGATAACAGACCTTTGCTTTATTTGATTTGTATTAGACATGACCACATTTAATTTTGTGAATTACATATGCGAGAATAACCAATTAGTCCTAACAAAGGCCATTGTTTTATAATGATAGGAAATGTAATGTCACGTTGGGATGCGTAGTCAACTAAATAAATCAAAACTTATATAAAAATTAAATATTAACAATTTTATTTTATCTTTTCAGTAATCAAAATAGTAATTATGACAGTGAGCTGATTCTTTATCGCTTTACATATATATTTTAATAGCAAAGAACGAATTGCATGTTTTTAGATGTCTGGAGTGAATCCCTTAACCTTTTTCAATCATTTTAGTATAAATATCCTTAAACATGTTTATAGTAGTATTGCGCTAAAAAATTTTATGTTTCGGTACTAAATTTTTAACTGCAACAAAATATCTTTCCTTTGAATAGTATATGATACGAAATAGGATTCATGTATAGAGTCAATTTTCATGTAACATCAGTATAATCGTGCTCAAGAATAGATTTGCGCAAAAATAAATTAAAAAAGTAAATCGATTTACTCTAGATGTTTAAAAATATACAATTTGTTCTTTAGTATTAAATATATATGCAAAGTGATAAAAATCCACTCATATCTTAACATCAATTTTTTTAAAAACAAGTTTTTAATTAATTTTTTAGCAATTAATTTTCATACAATACCACATATAGTTTTGAGTTACGTAGTTGACCGTACACCCCAATATCTTGTGTAGACATAATAACCATTTGCGCTTTAACTATTCTGATATTAGAAACCGGTTTGATGATCTTATCTTACGAGAAGGTTAATTACGTGTATGATCTATGAGGCTTAGGCAGTATTGCTGGAAGGTTCTAGTGATAATAACACAAACGCAAATGAAAAAGGTTCATAAAGGAATTTGGTAAAAGGTGAAGATCTGAGTTCGAAACGAAAGGGAAGCAAATCCTCATCTCATAAAGAAAACCCGTCAGTAAAAGCCTCTTCTAAATAAAACTACAAAAACGTAACAGTTTCATCCTTGTCAACACAGAGAATTTATGGGTTACAGATATATTAAATAATACACCATCGCTAAATCAACCACTGAGTTCTTTTGATAACACTCTATCATTTTTATAATAAAAGAACTGTTCCTTTTAAAATCATATATAAAATAATCAATTTAAACTAAATGGTTTCTCATATCATGCTCCTTATCACTATCATTTCTGCAAAAATCATCAAACATGTTCATATGGTCAAGCTAAGTATAATCTGACCAAAGAAATATCACAAGTGATCAGGTAGAAATACTTTTTTATACCTAATGAACAGCCTAAAATATTTACAAATGGTGATTTGGTCTTTGCTTCAGGTAAATTCATCGTTGAAAATTCTAAGCAGTGCATTACCATGACATATGCAAATATCATTGTTAACAATCCTGATCATGAGTTCGATACTACTGATGTTTCTCCATGCATGCTTCATTGCATGTTTTCAGTAGTTGTTAATCATAAACCTAAAAAGCTCGATGATTTCATCCATTTCAGTGTAGAATGTACTGAATATAATTCTTTCATCGGTACTTCTAACTAAACATGCAAACGACAGTTCTTTATCATGCGGGATCCTCAAGATTTCAAAATTATTTGGGCCATTCAGGCTCAAATATTAAAATAGGCAATACGTATTTCATATCAGGTCTCTTTAAATTTTCAATGTCTGGTAAGATGATGATTGAGGCAACTGATATCGACTATTCGAGAACATCAACTATCACCCATAGCGCATATGAAAATTACTCTTCGACAACTCCCAATACTCGGTCAATTATCAATGACATTGCTGATTATATTGAATCTGCTTCAACTCAAGTTCTGAAAGTTGTTGAACCTATGATCCCCTCGGTTAACCATGTGCTGCCACTATCTCAGGTCCATCAAAAAATCCAACAACCATTACAAATCCTGATGTGCAAACTGATTTGTCTTGTAAGAAAAATCAAGAATGATTGTTAGATTATGATGACTTGGATTCTCAAGATGAAGAAAAGCAATCAGATTGTAATGACAGCAAAAAAGACACAGAATTAGATAAGGAAGAAAGTCTACACAAGAAAAGAAAAAGTGTTAGAATAACTGAAACCAAATCCAAAAAAAAAGCAAAAAATAAATTGAATTAAAAAGAATTCCCATCTGTACACCATGTGTATATGTTATGCTTTATTTTTAAATTCTGTCAATTATTAATCAACACATGTCATTTTTCAATCAGTACAAAACTTGCAAATAAAAAAAAAAAATTTATACGTATTTATATTTAACCAAAAATATTCAAATCTATGCAAGATATATTAAAATTTACTAATAGAATTAAAAATGTTCGGCTTGAGTATATAACGAATTCCTCATTCTATAAGAACAAGATTCAGTACTGTAATTCATTTTTCGCAACTACAAGAATTTGGGCGAGTTTTTTTAACTTGACATTAATTCAAATCATATCAGTAGAATTTAATTGAAATTCAAATTTTTTTATTTACTTATATTGAAAATGTATTAGTTAAGTGTTCTCAGGTATTCTTAAGTTGAGCATTTTTGCGTTAAGGTTCTTGAGTTGGAGTTCTTGAATAGTATGAAGTGTATGACTTGGGCGCTGAACACTACAAGTTTGATGTTACTGAATATCATGAATTGAGCATTTAATATTTTGCTTGACGGGATTTTTTAATATATTAAGATACTCATTGTAGCGTTTTCTATCCATCGAGCTTCGTTTACATATGTTTCTAATATTCAGTTAAAGGTCTCACAGGTCAGAGAAGAATAATAGAAAGAATAATGATTATAAAAGAAAAAATTTCAAAATTTATTTATTTACTATTATTATTAATAAGCTATCGTCAATTATAGTATGATCTCATTAAGAATTGACCTGGGTCATCTATCAATCGGTGAAATTTAAAAAATGACAGAATAATCAATGTAAATTGAGAAATGATGCATAACACATATACTATGTGTAAACTAAAAAAAAATTAAATCAAATGTTATCAATCTTATTTATTATACCATTTTAATGACAAAGTATATTTTAATAAACATAACTTAGTATCAATCTTCGGTAACTTTACAAGTTGAGTGAAGTTAACATATAATGAAATAATTTTACTATCTCATCATTCAATTTAAAGTTATTAAAATAATCTACTGATCATTATAAAAATTAACAATATAGAAAATAGTAGTGATGTACAATTAAGTAAAGCTGTAGAGCATAATACAGTAATACGTTAAATGAGCAAACACGTGAATATGAATAATTAGGTCACAATCGGGTATAAAATAACATATCATATATAATATGCAAATGAATATAAAATTTCAGGTAGCTTATATCTAGAAATACAAGAAAACAGCATATTTATACTACAGTGAAATCACAGCATGCAAATTTTATAATAATACACAATAATTCAAAAAAAGAAACTTTTCTCATCTTTGACAATCAGTGATTATCATTCCATTAACCCAACAAAAAATCCTACAAAAAAAAACACAAAATGCCAAATATCTGGCAAATACGCAAGTTAATTTGCACTGGGTTACCAATTTTTGTGTCTGAAATTACTTTTTTACTACCAGTAGTTAGCGCAACTACAACATCGTTCACATTTGCATTTTTTATAACCAAATTATAATCTGTAACTACGTATCCGAATGCATATGTATATCTGTTGATCTGTATGCATGACGAATTCATATGTGAAAAATAAAGCGTGATAAATTAACATGTGAAAAATAAACAAAATATGACGAATAAATCATGCAGACCAATCAAAATCAAGATTTTGATAGCAAATACCACTTATTGTTCTATATAAACTATCTACTTCGTGATTTCATCACTCCATTTCTGGTATATCTTTTATATCTATTATATATATTATATCCATTATATCTATTAGTTCTTATATATTTTAACATTACTATAAATAGCATTTATTAGCAATAGAGTAGTCTTTATTGTAATAATATATATATGTAAAATATTTATAAAAGCACTACTTTTTGACTCTTTAAAAAAGCTAAGTATCTTCATACATTTTAATAAAAAGTGTCTTCATACATTTCAATAGAAAGTGTTTCTATACATTTCAATAGAAAGTGTCTTTATACACTTCAATAGGAAGTGTTTTCATATATTTCATAGTTAATAAACTGAATGCAATATTTAATATCTTCATATATTATCTATTATTACCTTTGTCTTAAAATTCCAAATCACTTTGTATTTTGTTAAGTCTTGTTTAAACTTTGTATAGAATCTGTCAAGTTATAGTTATCATATTATAGTTGAGCAGCTTCTGTTATTGTTGTGGTTAAAAAAAAAACTACAGATTAATAATATGTAACTAAATCATATTATAATACCTTATCATAGCTAAACACAAAGCTAAACTCTTAATATTTATACTAAATAGTATACTATTTAATTATAATATATATGGTATTAAAAATATATAGAATATATAAGCACAACAATATACAATATAATGAAATTCTAACTTTATATTAATAACTTAAGTTAATAGACATTAGTACTCATATTTGACTATAATAACTGTAAAACAATTTATAGTCAACAACTAACATCTTATAATATCTTCACTCATATATAGATAAACTTAACAAAAATACAACTATCTATAAAATAATACAACTACTTAATAAATTTCAGCTAACTTTTCTAGTCAACTCTAATATCCTTAGACTTTAAACTATTCAACATCTATATACACCAATTGAACAATTTTGCATTACTTATAAACTTTATATACAATTTAAAAAACAACTATATACTAAAGAGATAATGTATCTTGAGCAACTAATATCATACGATAACTATGTATTACTTAACTAGAAACATATATCTTCAAAAATTCAACATATACCTAAAGACTATAAGTTATTATAGTTTACTACTTTAGAAAACACAATTATTGCCAATTATCAATTTAGATTAATAAGTTTTCAACTACAACTATCTCACACTAACTCTATTTTATTTACTACTAAACATTACAAAAATATACTTAAAACTTGGATAATGCTTATAATCATAAACATAATAAATTAATATAGACAAAGCAAAAAAATATAACCAAACAAAAGACACAATTTCTATAACACATTGGCTAATTGACTTTGATATTCTACATATTTACCTATATTTTTCAGTTAATTATATCTACAAACAATATATAGAATACTATTTTAATTCTAATCATATACAAAACAAATGCATATTTAATATTTCTACTAATGTTACAACTAAATTTCTAGACAGAAAAGTTAATTCTAATTCCTCTACTACATTTAATCTTTATTCAAATCTACTTAACTCATTATATTTTATTGCATTACAAAACTCTATTATAATACTTTTACAACCTAATATTATTATATACAATAATGCTATACTTAATATTTTTATGCAAAATTAAGCTATACAAATTCTCTAACAAATTGCATAATACAACTCATACTATTCACAGTTTACATTTTATACTGATGGCTCTATAAGCAATATTACCAATGACAGATATAAAATAGGTATTGGTTGGATTTAAATTTAAGATAAGACTATATTGTATCAATATTTAGCAGAATTTAAACTTTGGTCTTATTATACAAAGCGGAACTTATAGTAATTCTCGTTGCTATCAGTCATATCCAAATATGAGTAGTATTATTATTTGCACTGACTCATAATTAATAATTTTCAAATACAATAAGCTTATATAGTCATCATCTATATCTAATAAAATATACTTTTATAACTACTGGCCAATATGACATATACTACTAAACTTTATCACTGCATACTAAATTTAAATTAATTTTCAAAAAGTAACTATATACAAAAGTAATATGCTAAATAACATAGTTGACAAACTAGCTAAAAACTAAAACTAACTATATACACTTAGTCTTCTTTATACCAATATATACAATCTATTATATTATTTTTATTATGACAAATATGTTATAGAGTAATCTACATGTAAAGCTATTAAAAACATTAGTAATGCTTATAATATAACAATATGATCCTTTTAATATCAGATGACAAATATCCTTTTTTTATCTCTACAAATTAATTGGAATGTTATTTGGCTTTTTCTTAGCAACAATTACAAAAGATTTGCATTTTATACCAGTTTTATTTTATGCTAAGTAAAATATATAAAATTAAGCTAATGCTAGGAATATTACCTACACTATCTTACTTATATTCTTTTTATCTAACAACATATCCTAAACTTAATTGTATTTTATGCAATACATATAATAGTTAGCTGTATTGGCTAATTTGCCCAAACTCATTTATACTTAACTCTATTATTACCAATATGATATAACAATTCTTTAATTATTTATAATTAGATATAACAACTATACAACTACAAAAATTATACAATAAACTTACCAATCATCCATATCTCTTTTTAAACAATCTTATTAGAAAACATATAAATATTGTTAACATTAAGAGTTTTACATATTTTTGATCATACCTTTTGATATACCAAACCAATTTGGATGAAACAACCACCATTGGATTCAGTTCACTGAGACGATTCTAACGAGCACAAGATCATGTGATTCTGATCATGGGATCACGAGATCGGAACGATTTTGATGAAAGCACACATTTTAGTACATGTAACTTGATTCTGATTGGCTCACATTACAGTACCAGAAATTTAACAAATCTAACATTTCTAACAGATCTATTAGATCTAACATATCTAACATATCTAACAGATATTATATATCTATTA